TTTATGGTAATCAGTTACATCACCACTTTGCAATGTGAATCGCCTATGTGTTCTAGAGTAGACACCTCTCCTAAACCGGTAAACAGTGAGAATTCTGGCACTTTGTACCCTCTAGGCCATGGATATGCTTGGTTTACCCAATTAGGATATGGCTTTGTGTACGTCGGCCTAATGACGGGATGCACCTCAAAAGCCATCTGATCCTGTACGATTTCCATAATCTGATTCCTCAACATGACGTTGGGGTCATATGGAATTCCTACAGGTTGGTTAACCGGTTGATTTGCATGAGGCCTGATGTTTGGTCTTTGATTGGCAACAAAATTACCATGATTAGGGCCATTACCATTAGCCTGAACATCTATTCCCTCATTAACACGTGGAATATTCTGTCCATTGTTTAGGACATTATCTCTTATGTTTGGATTACCCCCCAAGTTAGGCATACCACTACCATTGTTCTGATTTGGCACTGTAGTACCCCCTTGGTTTGAAGTAGAGGGACCAGAAAGCGGTTCTACCCCTTGATTCGGATTTAGGACCGAGGGATTATGTCCCACAATTGTCCTAGTTTGAAAGTGATTTGTAAGAGGTATAACCGGTTGACATATTTGGCCTACTAACTTATTCATTGTTTCGTTCAAAGTGTTTAGCTGTTTGGCCATGTTGTCATAGTGTACATTCCCATTTTGGGTAAATCTTTCCATATTATGAATACTTCGAAGATTTACCTGTTCAACGACGTCTTGTATGAGTTCTCCAGGTAATGCACGCATGGTTCGAGGACTTAACTCCGTCATTGGTTCGTAACGACTGTTACTGCTCTGATTCTGTCCATCTGTTCGTGGAGAGGCATGCCGCTCCTCATATCGCTCGATCACAGACTGGATTCCTCCCTAACTTGCTGCTTCCTTATCGAATCTCAGAGGCATATTGTTTCACCTTTTGTACTTTCAACACCTAACACCACTGTCCCACTGGGCGTGCTAAATTGTTTCGCGCGGGTTAGTCGCTAACAATTAAAAGGGATCAGACGATTGTACAAGGGACAAATCTCTTGAGACAAAGTCCCAAAAAGGGGTGTTCTTTTATTGGCGATGACTTTACAATTGGAAATTAAAAACAACGTGCCTCCAAGGGGTGCAAGCACACGAGTTACTGAAAGAAAAGTGTTTAAGTCTAAGCTAAGAAAATTAAAATTACATGTTCTCTGTTCGAGAGTTTTTGATTCGGTCCTTTGCTCTATGTTTTTTCTTCCTTTTATACTTCATAGACGATCTCTTTGTGATCAACCGCCTAAAAACTGCTTGATCGTCCTATAACTGCCCACTTTCCTCGTAATGGCCAACTTGTCATGAAAATTGCCTTTTTTAACTGCTGCCATTACTCTTCGTTGTTCAACCGCTTTCGATTGAATTCCTTGAATCATGGAACGTGATAGGGTTGCTTTGATAACTTGCTTTGATAACGGCACGTCTTGATAACCACAAGGCTTTATGTTTGTTAAGACCTTGGGCGACTTGAAGGTTTGGGCGAGAATAGAGTAACAGTTCTGGGCGACTGTATGACACTCCATTCGCTCAGATTCTGGGCGACTTGCAAACTTGGGCGATGGCGTTACCGCGTTCTTGGGCCTCCCTATTTGGGCCTTCATCTTGATTTGTTTGATTGAGCTTCGTTCTTTGGGCTATTTGATTTAGGGATCCTCCAATTGGGCTTCACTCCTTGGGCCGTTCGATTTGGGCTGAATTTTTATGTGTCAACAGTATCTTACAGGGATTACATTTTCAGATGTTCGAATTACATGTCCAAACACTTTTTGTCCTTCTAAGTATTTAATTCCACCTGTTTGGCTTCTTTCTATTTTGGTCAATCATTTTTATTTTGATAGTCTTTAACTAATTATGGTTCAAAATCCTCATTTTGCATAACATCAGAAGTCACGTTGAAAGGTAAATTGTGTATAATAACATTATTTCGTTCTCCATAATTTATGAAATAACATATAATTTATTGAAATCTTATTATTTTTGGACACTTGTAATTCTTTAGGAACCATATTTTCAATATTTGATTAATAAATCTTTTCTAATGTTAATTTCGAAATTTTTGGTTGATTTTTTCTTTTTCGAGTTACAGAGTTTTTTGAACCAATTGGTTGACCACACTTCTGACATATTTGAAATTCATTTACAACAATAGATTGTCCTTTTGGTACATCAATTTTTGCCAGAATATATAACTTTGTCACTTTTTTATGTCAACAAATACGTCAGGTAATTAATTTGCAACTCTTTGCAAGGGATTAATATTTTCAACATTTTGCTCGCATTAATTGCTGCAAGGATCGATGTGAGATAGAGTTGTTTCGTGCTTTTCAAAAGCAATCAAATACTATTATAAGAAATTATACAATGATTTACTCTTCACGGGTAAAAATTTAACTTAAGTCAAATTATAATTAACTATGCTCTTTGATAATTAACTATGCTCTTTGAGAGCAAGTATAATCTAACTAGAATATTCGTCAATAATAGTTTGCTGCTTCAAGAACACTAATAAATTATTATTATTATAAGAATATATATATATATGTATAAAGATTTGCTCTTCAAGAACAATAAATATAATATTCATCTGGAATATTAATTATAATGTTATACTACTTTAGAAGCAACAATAAATTATTAATAATAAATAGGTCTACCATTTATATTTTTTTGAAATATTAATTATAATATTGTAATATGTCAGGAGTAACAACGTGATAGACCGTTAATTTAAAATTTATAGAAGAATATCTGAAAATATTTAATTACCATTTAGATGTGATATGAATTTATATAGCAAATTCAATTATCAAAAATGTATTAAGTCAAAAAATCTTCCAACACATGTACGTGAATTGACTTAGCATATAGACATACAAATATGACAAAGTATCATTATTCGTATAATGAAGTAATCATTATATATTTGCGAACAAGGAAAAAAAGCATAGAAGTAGAAGAAGTAACCTCGTTTTGATGCATATATATGTAGAAAAATTCACATGTCACCAAATTAATTTTTGTACACGTAATAAATATTTATACTTATAAAATTTTATCATATTTACTAAACTTTGAAAAACTAAGTTATCGTGTTGATAACGTTTATGAAAAGAGAGAAAAAGAGAATGGAGAATGAAAGTCAATAATTATTATTTTTTGTATATTTTATTAAGAATAAAAGTCCTATATTTATAAGTAAGAGTCATGAATACAACGTTGATAATTTTTAAGGGTGCAGGATTATAAGTGTCATTCACTGAAAAACTTACCATTTACAACAAAATAGACTTTCTTACACGATTAAATTAATTTTTTTTTAAAAGATCACTTTTCAAAAATCTTTGTCAAACAAACATTTACTAATATACTATTGATAATTTGTATCGTCGCATTTCTTTTGAAACAGAGATGTCCTATGACGACTTCTGCTTGCTGCATATTTTTATTATTAACCATACGAGTAGCATTTGAACCTGGATGCCAGTGCATTGACATATCAAAAAAAAAATAAAAAATAAGAACTTAATTATTCTGTACATACAACTTGACAAGATCCATCTTGTCATTGGGCAATGCGTAAATAATGTAGTGTTGCAACATAGCATCTGACACTTGTACCCTGTACAATTAGCAAAATTCTAATTTCAATAAATCTAAGTTCAACCATATATATTTTTTTTTCATTATTTCGGAGTTATTCATAAACAATTTAATTTAAAATGGATAGATATAAATATTAAACAAGTGATTTATATTTGTGAATTTTACAATATATATGATTAAAAATATTTTGATGCATTATTAAAAATAAGTTAGGTAGGCAATGCGTAAATAATGTAGTGTTGTTAGTCAATGCAGTGTTGCAACATAGCATCTGACACTTGTACCCTGTACAATTAGCAAAATTCTAATTTCAATAAATCTAAGTTCAACCATATATATATTTTTTTCATTATTTCGGAGTTATTCATAAACAATTTAATTTAAAATGGATAGATATAAATATTAAACAAGTGATTTATATTTGTGAATTTTACAATATATATGATTAAAAATATTTTGATGCATTATTAAAAATAAGTTAGGTAACTGAATTCAGAAATATGATATTTGTTGAAATTAAGGTGTGATCTGAATTGTATTTGAAAATTTATTTGGAGATTTTATTTGAAGTCTGTTTGGGAATTATAGTTGGAGTTCAATTGAGAGTTCAGAATTTGTGTTGGACTTGAAAAAAATCTGAAGGAGTTTAAGTTGCAATAAAAGAAAAAAAAAATTTGGAAGGAGAAGGAAACGTCGAACTGGCATTCACTACATGCCTTGATTTCGCTCAAGCACTCAAAATAGTAATATTGGCGCTTGCTTTCCACAAAGTTGCTGAAGCAGTCGGCCATCGCTTGAGCGCCGATCTTATATAGGAATGAATAATTGGTAATTTTGGCAGTTTTTTTTTATGAATTGTAGTTTATCCCAAATACCATATTATTGTTTAGACATGTTATAGTTGAACTCCACATCTTATACTTCTTTTTACAATATAAGTGTGAAAATTCTACCTCTTGAAAAATCATACTTACATTCTACACAATTTACAATCCTCCTTTATTGATATTAGTGAATTCTCTTCTTCTTCCCGTACTTTTTTTGCTCCTTTATTGTTTGATTTTCACATTGCCTATACCTCGTCTTTAATATTATGGTCTTTAATATTCATAACAAGGGATATTAACAATTGGCTTAATTTTTAACGTGACATCTCTTCGCGTGTAACGTCGTGCAAATTTCTCATAAAAGTCGCACTTAATTTGCTACGCCAACTATAGATTCTTCAAAAACACGAGTTGCTTTCAGCCCACAGCCCCGCACTTCCCCCTAGCCCATTTGCCCGCGAGGGAAAAATTTCAGATAGTTTTTGGGGGAAATTGAATGAAATTTCAAAAGGAATTAGGGTTCTTCCTCCCCCCCAAATTCACTCTATTTTCCCTTCGTCCACCCTCATTTCCACCATCCCCTTGCCTCAAAAAATTCGTCCAAAACACCTTCTGTAACTAGTCACCCTCTCTGCGCAAGAGCTACAAGGTAAGTAAATTTGTGTACTAACTGTTTGGTTACGCTGCCTACATGTTTGGTTTAGTTCTAATTTTTTGATCCGTCGCATGGATTTTGGAAGTTGAGTTATGGGCCGGTGGGTTCGTTTAATTTTCAGGATTTCGTTTGCATGCGGTTTTTAATGTTTGTATTTGGTGATACATCACTCTAATTTGGTGTGTGCGCTACTCTCTGAGCATGTTCGATTCTAGGGTTTTGAAGGTATTGATTTACTCGTTCATTTGTTAAGGATTTTTAAGTTTATTGTTTTTAATGTGTATATTTGTTGATATATCACTCCAATTTGGTAATGTACTATTCTCCAGGCGTGTTTAGATTTAGGATTTCGAAGGCATTTATTCTAGGTGGCATTTCGTGTTTTGAAAGATTATTTTGATCATTTTTACTTTATTGTCTGCTTTCAGGATTTATGTGGGGTAAACCTTAAGCTTAAAGATTTTTATGATTCCAAGTTGTTATATGCGAAGGAATATAAAGAATTCAGCGGTAGGTTACGGTGATTAGTTTGGAGATATATTTTTTATGAATAGTTTTACTTGTACATAAGGAATTACATAATGCTTTACGGATATATGAGGTGTAAAAAAGAGAGGGGGAAGTTATTTTTATTATTATTATTTTCTTAATTGAAGAAATTTTAATCCAATCACGTCTCACCACATCATGTGTATGTACATCAATCAGTAAGTTGTAATGTACATGTAGCACAATTAATTTTATATTCACAACAAGCTACAAGAAAAGAAAAATTGTTAGAGTTTTATGCACATTTTATCACTCCTCTTATGTTCTCTTATTATTCATCTGATTTTGAGTAATGTATATGGACAAAGACTTCTTTTCCAATGGAAACAATAAATCTTCATCGTATGTGGGTCTTTTTAAGTATTTTATTGTTCAATCATGATTTTTCAGTTAGACAGCTTGAATCGTAGGACAACATGCTAAGGAGGCGTCAAACAGTAGTTGAATTATGTATATCCAGTAAACATTGTATTTGGTAATAAGTCAAGACTGTGAACAAAAAAAGAAAAAAAAGAAAAGAAAAAAAGAGTGCATTGCTTGACTTTCTGGTGTCATATTACTGTTTTAGGTTGGTGGCCTTTTTGTTCTATATTGCAGGCCTTTTTTTAAGATTCCGATGTTAATCCCTGGATCATATCATTTATTTAGACGGTCCAAAAGCCTCTATTTTGAAAGCCAAGCACAGTATACTATTTGGCCTAAGATCTCGATATACCTGCTTTAGAGGCTTCAAGGTGGTAATAACTAATTTATTCCACAGATACTTCTTTTGTTTTTGCTGATAATTTAGCCCAACCAAAGAGTGTTGCCTTTGCCTTACTTTATTGCTTAAACTTGTTTTGTGCAGTCTTCTTTTTTGAAAAATGAGAAAGCTCGATGATTTAAACTTGATATTGATTCCCACAGAAACTATGTTTTAATATGGCTGCAGAGTCTAATTTTTTGGATACTTGGTGGGCTCTGGAGGAAAAAGCAGAGTTATTTGGTTTGAGAACAAGGAGAAATTTCACTTCTGTTAATTCAATTTTTGTGCTTGAGACTTTGATTGGTTGGCATTTTATTTGTACTTTATGTTGGCAATGGAGTGCAACAAGGATGAAGCCTTCCGAGCAAAGCAGATTGCTGAGAAGAAGATGGAAAATAATGACTTTGAAGGGGCTCGAAAGATTGCTTTGAAAGCTCAAAATCTTTTTCCTGAACTTGAGAATGTAGCTCAGATACTTACTGTCTGTGATGTTCACTGTTCATCAAAAAACAGGATATTGGGATCTGAAAAAGACTGGTATGGAATCCTTCAAGTCGAAAGGTTGGCTGATGAAGCCACCATCAAGAAACAGTACAGAAGACTAGCACTTCTTCTCCATCCCGATAAGAACAAATTTCATGGTGCAGAAGCTGCTTTTAAGTTGATTGGGGAAGCAAATAGGGTACTATCGGATTCTACAAAGAAATCTGTATATGACGCTAAGATTAGAGCTTCAGCAAATTCATTGCAGCATCAGAACAATAATCCAAATGGTTTCACTGTTCGCGGTCAGAATCAATATCAGACAAAGCCGCCAAATTCTGTAGCTAGACAGGCAGGATTCTGGACATGTTGCCCATTTTGTAATGGAAGATTTCAGTATCCAAGAGAATATGTGAACAAAGCTTTACGCTGTCATAATGAAAATTGCTCAAGAGCCTTCATTGCTTATGACCTAGGCGCTCAAGGGATTCATTTGGGGTCCAAAAGGGCTCAACCAGGTGTTCAAAATGTGCCCTCGAAATCCAGCCAGAGTCGACCTTCTCTTTCTAAACAAAAAGAGGTCCCAGACCTGGGAGAGTTCAAAATGGGCGCACAAAAGACGACAAGATCCTCAGATTATCGTGCAGGATCTCTCGGAAGTGCCACCAGTAGAAAAGTTGGGTCAGAATCAGGTCCTCAGGCAGAAAATGCAGCTGAGATTGGAGGGGATTTGAATGCAAAAGAAAAAGATAGCAAAAATGTCCATTCGTTCAATGTTGGAAAGGCAGGGGGTGCAATGCCCAATCGAGATGCAATGCCTAGAAAATCAGGAAATATGGAAAACCAAAGTAGGAAGAGAAGCAAGAAGGTAGTAGTGGAATCTAGTGAAAGTTCTGACACAAGTGATTCTGACCTGGAAGATGTGGTTATTGAGGAAAATTATGACAACCATGGGACAAGGATGGATCCTGGACTTAATGGTTCCGGTCGTCCGAGGAGACAGGCTCAGCGAATGCAGCATTTCTCGTGCAATATAAGCGATGACGATGACTTTGCTAGCCCTCCCAAGAGATCGCGTGGGAACAAATTATCAGGTGACGGTGAAAAGGGGGAAAATGGGACTGTGGATGGTGAAGTTTCAAAATGTGGTAATCAGACTAGTTTTACTACTGATGAAGATAGGGCCAAATCAAAAGTTAAAAAAAAGGGAAATTTACCTCCTCAAGAAAGCTTCGTTGACAAGAATGCAGAGAGTAGCAAAGTTAAGGTTGACGGGCAAGCAGCTGGTATGCAGGGCACTGGTGCTGAACCTTCTATTCATATCTTAGATGATTCTGAACCAGATTCAGATTGTAGTGATGAAGATAAGAAAGTTTATGAGTGTCCTGATCCAGAATTCCATAATTTTGATAAGATCAGAGAAGAAAATTGTTTTTCTGTTGGTCAAATGTGGGCTTGTTATGATACATTAGATTGCATGCCTAGATACTATGCTCAGATAAAAAAGATAATTACTCCTGGATTCAACTTGAGCATCGACTGGTTAGAAGCTCATCCTGAGGATAAACAAGCGACTAATTGGGCAAATGTGGAGTTGCCTGTTGGCTGTGGCAGATTTAAGCGTGGTAAGAATGAAAAAGCTTCAGAAATTTGTACATTTTCTCATCAAGTGCATTTTGAAAAGGGTAGGAGCAGAGGTTCTATTGTCATATATCCTAGAAAAGGAGAAATTTGGGCTCTTTTCAAGGACTGGGATATTCGATGGAGTTCCAACCCGGAGAATCATAAACATTTCAAATATGAAATTGTGGAGGTTATGTCAGATTTTGTTGATGGTACCGGTATAAAAGTTGCTTGCTTGGACAAAGTTGAAGGATTTCTTAGCCTATTTCAGCGAACAAGTGGGAGGGAGATTGATTCGTTTGTAATACGACCCAACGAGCTGCTTAGGTTCTCCCACCAAATTCCCTATTTCGAAATGACTGGCAGTGAAAGGAAAGGAGTCCCGGAAGGGTCTTTTGAACTTGATCCTGCTGCCTTACTCCTACAAGGCTAAGGGGGACATTGGAAACAGGGATGCTGAAGTCAATTGTTCATGGCCAAACTTTGGCCTCCCGTGATAGTTATTTTTCATTTATCGTTTTCTAACTTTAGGCTGTGTTACTCTTGATCCGGTTCTAGTTATTGGAGGAAATAAATTTAGCCGATCTTCCAATAGTTGGGTGCACTTTTCTGCTATACGCGGCTCTATGACATTTTTGTAGTTAACCATGTTTCCGTATCTGCTCTTGGTATCCTTGCTGGTGATTTCTTGTTTACTCTTACCTTAATTTACACAGCAGTACGATTGTACATAAATAGCATATCTTTTTCCCATGTCATTTTGGTACTTTCTTGTGGTATTAGTTACTCTAGTTTCTCATACTTGTGCTTGTTTGGATTTGCTTATAAGTTGCTAAAATTATATTTTTATAGAAAATGAGATAGGTAATTGGGTCTCATGTGATGTATGTTTAAAATTAAAGTTTGACTTGGTTTTTTCTGAATTTACTTCCCTTCCCCTCCCCTCGAGCAAATAGCATTAGTTTCTGGCGAATCCACTATCAAAATTTGCATGCGTCCATGAAGTTCGATATGCCTAAAATAACATAGACAAACGAAACAGTTCGTAGAATAACAAAACAAAACTTTCTTAACAATTGCGAAGTCATGCCTCTAAAGATTGGTTGATACTCTAGTAGCTGCCTATGAAATAAAAACCAGGTCAACATGCGAAGCATGCTGCTCCAAAATCCAAAACTATGTCAGCACTTGTCCTGTTGCCCCTATCACGGTATATTTCATTCACTTTTTTACAGCACAGCCACTTATTACAATTCTTCCCCTATCAAGAAACAAAAAAAAAAAATCACATCAATGGTAGGATCGTTATAAGGATGGAAAATATAAAATTTTCCGACTCTTGACTGGCATATATAGAACATTTCCTCACCTATGTTCCACTCCATCCCAATTAATTTCACTTTTCGAACATATCAATTGTTACAATGAAAGAGCTATTTTTCGGGGGAAAAAATGAGAGAAATGTGAGCATGATGTTCTTCTATTGCATCAACAAAATAAAAGAAAGAGAGGAGCACAATATACATTACACGTCAACGACTCCATCATGCAAAGACACTTCCTCTCGTAACAAAACAATTCCTAATCAAACTCTAAACACTCGCAACTCTTCGCATTTGCTTGCAGGAAGCATAATGCACATCTGTTGGTACAAATTATTAGGTCGAGTGAATAAAAATAGACCACACAACTATAATAGAAACATCAGTCTGAATTGATAAGTTCATATCAAGTATCAATACCATATCAATTTTCTAGTTTTTAGGTAAACCAAAGTAATTTTTTCGCATCATAGTCTACAGATGTGTACCAAAACAATAATATTCCAAGGAATCAAGATCCATGATTAACAAAAATTGCACAAGTATGCTATAGATGATATGACAAAGATAATAAATAAGATGGGAAATTTGTTAATTGACACAGGATTTAATGCACCTGAAAGATCAAAGACTCCCAAGTAACAAATGAGCATGGATAAGAAAGAATAAGAGAAAACCTTTATTTCGAAGAAAATAATTTTTGCTCGAGTTGGGGTGAACAGGCTGAAGATGTACCATGCATAAGATTGTCAAAGCCATGCACGTTTGGATCTAGCAAGGGCTAGCCTCTTTGAAAATCTTGAGTTCCACCAATTTCTGTCGTAATTCTGCAGCTTCTTCAGGCATACTAGCAGTATCAATCTCATGAATTATTTCCAAATAAACTGTGACATAGGACTTGTGTCTACTCGATATCAACATTTCTAGGACTTGGATTGCAAAATCCACTTTTTTGATCTGGCACAATCTCTTAATAATGAATTTATAACAATTATCTCTTATCCTGTTTTTGTTAAAACCCATCGCCTTTAATAATTCTATAGCCTCTTCAATTAGATCGGCTCGGCAGAAACCCCAAATCAAACATCGATAGGTAACTTCATCAGGACAAATCCCATGCTCCAACATGTTATTGTATACTTCCATTGCTTTCCCCATAAAATTCTCCTTTGACAATCCATCAATGACAATATTGTAAGTGATTAAACTAGGAGAGCAGTTTGTATCACATAAGCAATGAAGAATTTGGATAGCCTCGTCTAGCATTGCTTCCTTACAAAGAGCACGTAGGAGGGTGTTATAAGTAATTATATCAGGAAAGCAGTTGTAAATAACCATCTCATTAAAGAAGTCGATTGCACGATCCAGATGACCATGTTTACATAAACCATTAATCAAAATATTATAAGTTACGCGAGTAGGAGGGTGTGATGTTTCATTCATGAAAATGAGGATCTCGTCCACTTCATCCCAACACCCACAGGTACAAAGAGAATGGAGAAGAGTATTGTATGTGATAGCATTTGGCTCCATTCCACGAGATAGAAGATTAAAAATAACCAGCGCTGCATCATCATAGTGTCTCTGTTTAGAAGAAATATTGACCATTGAATTGTATGTCACGAGATCCGGCTAACATCCCTCCACTGTCAAATCTTCCATGATTTCTAATGCGTGTACAATTCCAATATGTTTGCAGACTAACTCAATGAGAACCGTGTAATCAAATGAACGGAAATGGTTAGAATATCTGTTCGAATGCAGATATTCTAAACGGCACAGGCGCACAGCCATATTCAAGAAACTCTTAAAACACAAATGGAAGGAAACTCCATTCCTTAATGGGTTTGTCACTGAATTTTCCTAGGAAGCAAACAGAGTTGTCGCAAATACTATTAGAGAATATCCAAATATTAAATATAGCCATGTTAGGACCTTGTTGACTTTCAGTTACGAAATTGACCTGTTTAATTATATTATTCTCAATACTCAATATACCCATACATTGATTTGTATAGTAATGTGTTCATGGATCGATTGGATGAGAAGCCGATTTTATACATTTAAAACAAGAAATCATTTGGTTATTTCACCAACTTTTTACTCCAGTAGTCTGTGAGCAAATTATTCTTGAAAAATGTAGAACACAACAAGAAAATAAATAACTGAATCCTAAACATACGGATTAAAATTTTCAGAACTATCATGAAGATATATTTTTCTTTTATTCCTTAAGAGTCATTAGTCAAGAGCTACACATAAAAAAGAAGTAAACTTCATTGTGATACAGCAGCAGTCACCAAGAGAAAGGCAAACAGAACTTACACCAAATTTGGCCGTCTCACTAGAAGCTATCGGTGTAACTGGTAGAAAGATACCTGAGGATGGCTGGTGATGGTGGATAAGTTTTTTTTTTTCCGGGGGGGGGGGGGGGGGGGGGGGGGGG